GTGCTTTTTCTTTCCCCCCCCCCCCCCCCCCCCTCATCCACAGAGCTTAACCACTTCTCTGTGCATGACTAGCATGCTTAATAACATTGAGAACAGGATTCAAGGCTGCTTCTGCTGCTAGTCTTGTGATAGCTATTATTGCTTGATCAACTCTAAGTAGTCTCTAAATAGCATTTTCTTCACATTTCCCTCTAAATGTACAATCCATATCGCCATGTTAAAAAGATAATTCCTGCTTTTTATTTCAGAGACAAAAAAATCAAAGTAGACCTTTTTACAGATTCTTATGCTACTTTAAACTGGCCATACACTAGTAGATGGCCCACAAGTTGACCGAAAGATACCCCTATCCATGCTGAACAGGGCTATTGTTTTCCACTGTCGCTGTCAGAATACTAGAACGAGAATATTTAGCTTGGCTCCTCAGAATTTTTGGTTCGAATGATATCGGGCAGGAGGCTACAGACAGCGCCACCCATTTGAGCAAATTTTGTCTGAACCATTAAAAATTTGTTTCCTGCTTTAGTCGGAAGAAAAAACAAAAACAAAATCACACTTCACTTTCCATTTCCTCCTGATTTCTGAAAGGGAAGGTCTGCAGTCTTTACCACCAGCTGATTGATTTCAGTGTTGTAAAAGGAAAGGTGAGGCAGTGTTTGCATCCCTTTAGCTGAGGATGGGCCTTGGGGCCTATTCACACTTGTCGGTTTTCATGCAGCAACATTTTTGCATTTTTCTTGCAAATTCTTGCATTGGAAGCAGACATCGCCATTATTTCCTATGTGGCTGCTTCACATTTATGCCATGCAGTTTATTGTGAAAGACGAAGGTGAACTATATGGGCCCGTTCACACCTACGCATGTGTATTACCATGTGTGCTTATTACTTATGTGATTTGGTAACTTTTCTTTCAAGTAGTCAACACTAGGATATGTCACATTTCAGACATCCCCCGAATTAGGAGTTCCATCATTTTTGGTTAGATGTTCTCAAAGACTGGATTTACACTGTTCCATATAGATATATATATATATATCTCATATCCATATATGAAGCACATATGATAATATGGTCATTGTCAGAGCTTTGTACATCACAGTGTATAGAATGCCCCCAGGCTGCCATATTACTAGGAAGTGATGCTTAGATGTTTTGCCAGTTTTATCAGTTGCAAATTACAATGGAAAAGGTGACAATTATATAAGTTACATCTTTTTAAGATAAGAATATAATATATAAAAACTGTCCAGATCTCAGGAGCCACAGATGTTTTGTATACCCCATCTATTCAAATCGATGAAAGCCTGCAGTTGTATGCTGGTAAATGCTTCTCCGAGCATCCATACAGGTTCAAATGTATGCTCCTGGACACACAGTCTGCATCATGGGATGTACTTCCATAACTTTATGTAAGTATATGCTCAGAGCAGCATTTACCCATTTACCAGTGTACAGATGCAGCCTGTAATTAATTTGTACAGACGGGCTGTACACAACATCTGTGGTTCCCGGGCATAGAGATCTGGATGGTTTTCACGGTATGGGCCCTTAAAATGAACTACAAGAGGAAAAACACCCTGGCAAATGATTCAACTTTCCTGTGTAGTAATGGCAAAGGACAAATAATAGTTTTGTAAAATACGTAAAATAAAAAATCTAAAACTTACACCGTACACTAAAAAAAATGAAATTGTGTGAAGTCAATGCCACCGCAGCCAAACATGTAGTGTGATCGCCCGCACTGGAACGCGTGGCACATCAATGCCTGCTTTCCGGTCTGGTGCGATCAAAAAAAATAGTGCATGCAATATTTTTTCTGATTGCACCGGACTGGAACGAAGGCATTGATGTGCCATTGACTTCAATGCACCAAAACGCACCCTCCCACACCAGAATGCAGTGAGACGGCCAGGATGTGATCCAGTGCATTCGGGCACAGAATCACGCCGTTATGCACTGGGGCTGGTGTGAGCTAGCTCTACTTCCTGTTGTGTCTGCAGAATGGAAAGTGAAGGGAAATCTCCCCAAGGAAATGCAAACAGCAAAAGAAAAAAAGAAAAGAAAAAAAAAAGAGATTTTTAACTTTTTTCCTACATTAAAAAGAAGGGTTTAGACTTTAGCTATAGTAACAACAACTGAACTCAAACACTGCAAATCATGTGAAATATTTCAGGTCAATCACAGCCTAAAAACAGAAGCACCACACGCTCAGCCGGTCATTGAATAAGTCAAGTGCAGAACAACTGCACATCATCATTATTATTCAGCAGAAAAGTGTTCTGCTGTACACACATATACACTTAGGTCATGCAGTACCTGAACGTAGATATCATGGTAGCTTTTAATGTGCTGGAAGAGCTGTGGGAGAACGTCAGCCATGGTGTAGACAGGTGATCACTGCTGCCTGGTACAGAGCTGAGAGTTTCCAGGTCCAAGCCTGTACCAGGGACACTTCCTTTTACATTGGCCTAATGACCTCTACACACCTTACAGACAAGGTGCATCCCCGGCATCCCTCTAGCTGTAGAGGCTCCTGACTCCTCCCCCTCCCTCACACAGTGTAGTATACAGAACTAGCCATCTCTGCTACATTGTAGCAAAGGAGGCAGGCACACAGAACTGAACTGAGCCCCCTCCATTGGGTGAAAAAGCAGCGGGGGCTCGGTGATGGCCCCCTCGTGGCCGCGGGCCCTCAGGCAATGCCCAAGTGCCCGAAAGGTCAGTCCGCCCCTGGAATGACCCATATAGATTCCCTTTCAAACAAAACTAAAGCGCATAGATGTAAACCTGATTCATAAGAAAGAATAGGATTTCTACTTTCCATGTAGCAAAATACAGGAGTTTAGGCCCTATAGCTGTGTTGCGATTGAGGTGCAAAACGTTCTGTTTGCAGCAATTTTAATGCAGTTTCTAAAAAAAAAAAAAAAGCACTTTACATAGAGTTTAACTATAACGATTGAAAAACATACTTAAAACACACTGCACACGTAATACACATAAAACATGCAGATGTGAACATGACTAACACTGTATGCCACTGGCGGATCGGAGCGGGAGGGGGGAATCCAGCCCCTCCCCTTGTCACGGCAGAGAGCCGTGACAGGATCGAGAGGTGAGGGAATGCCGGTATGTGTTCTCTCACCTCCCGATCTACTGAGCCGACCTGTGACAGTCTCATTGTCACAGGTCGGCTTAGAACTATGAGGTGAGTGGAAATCACTCATGTCATAGTTCTCCTTTAAGTATAACTATAGGCAAAACTTTTTTCTGGATTTGGAAAGAGTTACTGCCACTGTCAGGTTCTTATTGCTAGTAGATAGATAGATAGATGCTGGACCCTAGGGCTGTCCTTTTGGATTTGTTATTAAATAGTAGAGAGGTAGAGCTGCTACAGGTTATCTGGTTACCATGCTGGCAGCTTCAACACACCTAAGTATTTCAACAATTTCCATGGTTTGTAGTGTTAAACAATGGATCTGAGATAGAAGCAACACACCACAAGTTAATAGTCCATTTACTATTTTATTGTACTGTAAGGCCAGATAGAAGATCAAATGAGGAATCCAACACGTTTCGGAAGCCCAACATCCTCCTTCATCAGGGCTTAAAAAGGGGAAACAATGTACAGTATATGGACTAAGTTAAGAGTTACCACTGTTGGCGGTATTTGAAACAGTGTAGTGTCAGGCACAGAGCTTGTGAGCAACTGGTTAGGCAGCCCTGGCTAAGAAGGGGTGTATTTTGGAAATGTTATGGAGGTGGAGGTGACAAGATTTGGATGGATATTGGATGTGGGACTGGAAGTAGAGGTCAGAGTCCAGGATTACACCAAGCACACTGGTGCATGGGGAAGGAATTACAGTAGTGCAACGGATTTCCTTGAAAAGGTCAGGGCAGGGTGCTCAGTTTTGGTGTGACATCCATACTGAAATGCCAGTTAGTAAATTAATACATTAGGAGACTGAAGGGTCAGATGAGGAGTAGAGAGATGGATTGGGATGTTGTCATCAAAGAAAATGCTATTGAAAACCATTGGCAACCTTCTCTGTAGTAACAGGGTTTAAAGAGAAAAGTATTGAATGTGGTGGTAGACATGGTATATTAAATTTGTTGCCATCTGTGTCTAATTAGGATTTCCTTCTGCCACTAATTGTACCTATCTTGTTTTTGAAATGATTGGCAATGTCCTGGGCAGTGAATGAGTTGGTTGGTAAAAGTGGTGAGGGATAAAGTAGAGAGTTGGTGGTAGAAAAGAGTTGACAAGGACTGGATGAGAGGGTGTTATTGAGAGTCTGTTTGGCACCACAGAGAGAGGAATTATATTTTAGGAGGGCAGTATTGCGGGGATTACATTTCATGTCAAACTTACTCAAGAGCACAGCTTTGCTTTAAATACTTCTGGTGTTGTCTGTCTGTCAAGGTTGTAGAGGTGAGGTCCTCATTCTATGTGTAGTGAGGTGAGCAAGTGTGTCCAGGGAAGATGATAAGATGCTGTTGTAGACAGATGTGGTCAGGGCAGGGTAGGACACGGGAGCGATTTTGTTGTTGAGGTAGTCCATAGCAGAATAGAGAATAGAATGGTTAAAGTCGCAGAGGTTTGGGGAACTGTTTGGTAATTGGAATGCTAGAAGGATGAAGATGGGAGAGCATGAAAGTTATAAGGTTGTGATCAGAGAGAAGAAAAAGGGGGTTTGAGACATTGCAAGGTGTGAGAATACAAGATCAAGGGAGTTGCCATTAGAGTGAGTGAAAGACCTCTATGTCCAGAAGTAGGGTAGCCAGGCAGGGAGGTTGTCAGGGAAGCGTGACACCGGTCCTGAAAGTCGAGAAATCATAGCAATACTCAGAGAAAAAAAAAGAAAACAGTGAGCTTTAAGAGAGGGCTAGAGAGGCAGAGTCAGATCCCTGAAGTCAGGATTCAATAATGAGTGGGTAAAAGGTATTGGAGGTGAATAGGTCAGTTTTAGTTAACCCCTTAGGGACATCTGCAGAAAATGTTATTGCTTCTGGGGACCAGAGCAATTTTGCCATTTTTGCTATGAGTTTGTGTAACCAAAATTTCAATCTTCCTCATTCATTACACCTACACATATTATATACTGTTTTTTTAAAGGACAAAATGGGCTTTCATTTGATGTGACATATGCATATAGAAATTCTTATTTGTTTTAATATATAAAAAAATAAAAAATATTCAGCTTTGGCAATAATGAGTACATAATTAGTGTAGCTAACAAAGTAATTAATAATAAATTATTTTATTTGTCCTGATTTATAGGGTATATCATATGTCTGGGATTTCAGTTTATTTCGGGAGTAAGAGGTCACAAAATACAAGGAGTGAAATACAATTTTAGTGTGGAATTTTTTAAGAATGTGGTACGTTTGTCCCCTATATTGAACAGCACTATATTTTCTTACAAGTATTTAAAACTTTTTTTAATTTTTCTAAACTATTTTTTTTATTTGTAAATTGTATTTTTTTTAACTAGGGGGCACTAAGGAGTTATTTTTTTTTGTTTACAGGGGCATTGATACTTATGTCTGAGTAGAATACGGTATTCTCCTCAGAGATAATTTGTATCACTTTTGTAACACACACGGCAGCTAGCAGTTTACAAAACACAGTGAGCAGCTGTGTGACTGTCCCCTGCTCTGCAATCACAGGACTGTGACCACCTAATCTACTGTTGAGGGTCTGCCTTGGACCACATCAACAGCAGTAACTGCATTCCTTTCACAGACCAGAATTCCATTGTACCGAATGACGGGATTATCCTGTCACCAGTCGTTAACGAACAGAACGATCGTGAGAGGATAATCCTGTCATCAGTGGGCAACTGGTTAATCACAGTTTTTTCCTGACATGTTAAGCATTAGGTTAAAGTATATTTCTACTTTTGCAGCTAACTTGGAATAACATCTATTTTATATTCGTTACATGTTCCATGTCACATCGCATAAGCTTTTTACTTGGGTTAGGGTTAAAATTTTTACTTTTTCTGCGAGGGTGCTCAGAAAAAAAACTTGGAATCAGCCATGTCGCCTGCTGCAACAAACTAACTAAAAAGGTAAGAAATATATATATATATATTTGTTATTACTGTTCACCTTAATTTTGTCCTTGTGCCTTCCACTTTCCTAGGTGAGAAGTTCCTCAGCCTCCCCCTAGCGCAGCACTGTCATTTCTTGCGCCAAACAGCCATTCAAAATATAACGGCTGGTGCCAAGTGGCAGCTTAAGGTTGGATGAGCTGGGGATATGGCCGTGAGGGAGCAACATCTATACATACAGCTCCCTCAGGTGTCCTGTACAGCTGCCTGGACCAGAGTGATGTCACATTCTGGCTCCCTGCACCTCTACAGGGCATGCAAAGGGAGCTATACAAGCATTGCACCTATGGATGGAGCTCTGTCAAGCCCAGCAGCCCACACTGAACGCCAGGCTGAGGATCAACTTCAGTTCTCGTAAGGTATGGAGACTGGGTGGGTCTTTTGAATGGCACCCCAAACACCTCCCACTCAGTTTGATTGCGATACCACAACGCCGTGTGTTGCAGTGCGACTTAATGACCAAGCTCAAATGTGGGTCTTAAGGTTACACAGGATGGAGAACTACTGATGTAGAGAACTATGTTCTAACAGGTTTTACCTCCCAAGGGAAAGCATTGCAGAGTGGGGCCATAGTCTGGGATAGAATAGAGGCATCAGCAGGGGTGTATCTAATGCAAGGCAAACTAGGCATTTGCCTAGGGTGGCACTTTCCATGGGGGCGCCAAAAAATGCTGCCCCCAAACTAGTTCGATAAGAGAAAAAAAAATTATATTATAAAATTATTCATAAATTACTGCCAGTACCCCTGGAGCTGGTGCTTCTTTGACTTGGGCCCCCAACATGTCCACCTACATCTATGCCGGCTGCAGCTCCTTCCTCTACCTGGTCAACATGCTGTGCAATGTATTGGTGTGTGACTTTCGTCCGGATGTACTGGCAGTTCGTGCACCGGACCTCTCTGGGAAACCAGCACCCAAATCTCTGCCTTCAGGCAGCGGAGGAGCTTTCGCAGGACACCAGGGCTGAGATCCAGATGTCATCATACTCATCGGCACCTCTGTGGTGGTGAATCCGGGGAAGTGAAGCCTATAAGCTACATGCAGGGTGATGTCTCTAGAGCGGGGCAAGCTACAGAGCCCAGCAGCCAAGGCAGAATTAGAGTGCCCAGCATATTAAGGCAGAAGATCGGTGTTGCAGCTGCAGAATTAGAGATTAGCACAGCATGGCAGGAGAGAATGGTTATTGTAGCTGCAGAACTAGGGAGCTCATCAAGCCAGAAATGGAGGTGGCTATTGCAAAGGTAGAACTAGAACATCCCGCTACGTTGATAGCGCAACGTGTCAGAATCTACCAGATACACAGAGCGCACTTTATCCAGCGACTGACAGGTTATGCCAAATGTCTTAAACAGGAAGGGGTGGGACAAATTTAGATTAGGGATTGTCTGCACAAAAAACAAAAGACACCACTTTTTTTGTGTGAAGTGATTTGTGAGTACCTCTATCTTTCCACTCTCACAAGCACCATGGACCTATTTCTGAAAATATTTTAAGAACACTTTCAAGCTGTTACCCCCATCTTTGCACCTGTGTAAGAAGTTGAACAGAAGTCAAAAAATCTTTTTTTCAGTTTTGAAAATATTAAAAGGGGGTTATAACACCTATTCGTATTTTTTGTCATGTGTCCTATTAAGGATATTTTCCTTTACATCCTGCCTGAACACAAAAGGAAGAGAAAACTCCTCCAAAATGGAGAGAAGTCACCAGAACTGGAGTCCCCATAGGAAGATTTCCCATCTGGTGACCACCCAAAAGTCAGCATTTTTTTCCCCAACTTTCAGTGATAAGTCACCATTACATTTAGAGATGACTCTCCCTAACAGTCAGATAGCAATAAATACCCAACAGGTGTTCTAATCCCTCTACACTATCCAAAATTAAAAATGAGTGAGCTTCAGTTGCACTTTTAAGTAAATGGCTTAGAAAACTGGAAACAGACTGTCTATTCTATGCTACCAATGCAAAATTGCCGATACCTGTGGAATATGAACTCCCAAAGGAGTCTGCTTTACAGGCATACATCAGTGGCAGCAAAAGGATCAAGTGTATGACTTCTGGGTAAACTTATCTAATTTGCTTCCTCTTGCTCTACTAAATACCATTGAAAGCATGGTTATAGATGTTGAGCCTGTCAAATTCAAATCAGTCTTGTGTACTCTGCCCGTCTCAAGGATTCCACTCAGCCCTCCTAGTTCTTCCCTTGGATTACACAAATACCTAGGCTGACAGCATTCCTTTCAAATTTCAGTCAGAAAATGCAGTTTTGTCAGTCCACAACAGGGAATTAGGAGCAGAGTACATTATTGCAATGATTAACAAGCAATTCCTCTCCAGCACGTACATGGGTTGGCTACACCCCCAGGATTATCTATAAACTTGAGTTCCATACTAGCAGGGGCAATTCTTTTTTCCCCCTGCCTCCAGGACAAATCTCCCTGCCTACGGCAGGGACTCTGAAATGCCACTAACAAGGAGTTAGAAAATTAAAAAAAAACCCCACCAGCAATATTTCCTGATTATGGCGAGTTGCAGGCCCATTGAATTGTACTTTAACGCAAAACAATGCACCAGATCAGAAAGGTGAAGGATGACTCATCCCATATGAAAGTATCTGAAAGCATTTGCATAAGTAGTCTTAAATAACAAGTATTATCTTTTAGGATCTTTTTTTTCAGTTACACAACTGTCTGATAATTTGGTATAAAAATCTCACTGGACACTATGACAAAACTACATCTGACATGGTTATGTGTGTCTGCAGCACAAAAGTCATCTGACTAGATGTGTACCCTAGGAATGAGAATGTTTTACAAAATACATAGGCACATGACCAGATTATAGTGCGATTACCATTTACTGGCTAGTCATACATGCTTTCAAATCCAGAGGATTGCAGATAAGAAAAAACACCAAATACTTGCATTCCTGCATGGACTTGGATAATATATCCTTACCACAGATGTCACAGCACATCGTTGGACCATGAACGTGGTCCATACATTCCAAAGATATGTATTCTTCTGTCATGCAGTAGGATGATCAGCTTGTGTAGAGAACCTGCTGCAAAAGTGGATTGGTTGCCAATGCATCATTTTCTTATTTCATATAAAAATAACGAAATTACCTGCACCAATATTTCTTTACACTATACTTTGTAATTCAGCCCTAATTTTAATTCAGATATGCACCAGTAGTTAAGCACATCCCTAGTTCAGTAGAAAGCATAAAAGGCAAACCAGTCTGATGGAACATTTATTAAGTTACAATAAAGCATTTAATCGAAGAGCCCAAATCCCATGTCTTCATCAGACTCTTCAGATTCTTCCTTTTCTTCTTCTTTCTTTTCAGCTGAAAAGGTAAAAAGCGTATCTTGAAAATGATGTACCCCAACTCCTCAAACTAACTATACTTTAAAGTCAGATAAATCATTTTAGATTCCTTAATAAAAAAAAATATTACCTTATGCCAGATAAAAACGTACACAATATAATTTTGTAGAGATAGTGTGGCAAATAATTATTTGATCCCCTGCAGATTTTGTAAGTTTGCCCAAAGCAATGAAAGGTCTATAATTTTTATCACAGGTGTATTTTAAATAATAGAGACAGAATATTAACCAAAAATCCAGAAAACACACAATACAAATGTTATAAATTGAGTTGCAGTTCAGTGAGTAAAATAAGTATTTGATCCCCAAGCAAAACATGGACTTCGTACTTGGTGGAAACCCTTGATAGCAAGCACAGAGGTAAGTCTTTCTTGTAGTTGGTTACCAGGTTTGCACACATCTCAGGAGGGATTTTGGTCCACTACAGATCTTTTCAAGGTTTCTTGGCTGTCGCTTGGCAACTCAGTTTCAGCTCTCTCCATACATTTTTTATAGGATTGAGGTCTGGAGACTGGCTAGGCCACTCCATGACCTTAATGTGCTTCTTCTTGAGCCACTGCTTTGTTGCCTTGACAGTATGTTTTGGGTCATTGTCAAGCTGAAAGACCCATCTTCAGTGTTCTGATTAAGGGAAGGAGGTTCTCATCCAAGATTTTACAATACATGGCCCCGTCCATGCGGCACAGTCGGCCTGTACCTTTAAGCAGAGAACACCCCCAAAGCATAATGTTTCCACCTCAATGCTTGACTGTAGGGATGGTGTTCTTAGGGTCATAGTCAGCATTTTGCTTCCGTCAAAACACAGCGAGTCGAGTTAATGCCAAAGAGCTCAATTTTGGTCTCATCTGATCGCAGTACTTTCTCTGAATCATTTAGATGTTCATTGGAAAGGCCTGTAGATGAGCCTTCTTGAGAAGGGGGACCTTGCGGGCGCTGCAGGATCTCAATCCATGGCGGTGTATTGTGTTAGCATTGGTTTGTTTGGTGACTGTGGTCCCAACTGCCTTGAGATCATTCACAAGCTCCTCCCATGTAGTTCTGGGCTGATCCCTCACTTTTCTCATGATCATCCTTACATGGAGCTCCAGACCGAGGGCGACTGATGGTTATTTTGTATTCCTTCCATTTGCAAATAATCGCTCCAACAGTTGTTTCTTTCTCATCAAGCTTCTTGCCGATAGTCTTGTAGCCCACCCCAGCCTTGTGCAAGTCTACAATCTTGTCTCTAACGTCCTTTGACAGATCTTTTGTCTTGCCTATGGTGGTGAGGTTTGAATGGAAGATTCTGTGGACAGATGTCTTATATACATAATGAGATGTCGTTAGGAGCACCTTCTTAAATTGACAGGACTAATCTGTGTACCACAAAGCCAGTATGTGGGAGCCAGAATTATTGTTGGTTGGTAGGGGATCAAATACTTATTTTACTCACTGAACTGCAACTCAATTTATAACATTTGTGTCATGTGTTTTTTTTCTGGATGTTTGGTTTTATCTTCTGTCTCCATCATATAAAATACACCTCTGATAAAAATTATAGACCTTTAATTTCTTTGTAAGTGGGCAAACTTACAAAATCTGCAGGGGATCAAATCATTATTTTCCTCACTGTATAAAGGACTTTCCACTTTTAGACAGAAAGAAAAGTCATATTTGTCCCCTCATTAGTGAATGGCAAGGCTCTGCTCAGAACCCTATCTGATCACTAGATTTAACAAAATACCTTTAACCACTCAGCTTTTTATTGGGTTTCTGAGGGCAGATGGTGGAAAACATCTCAAAGCCAAATCGGTTTTATGCAGGCAGGCTGGCATTCAGTGAGCACCAATAGTCTCAGAGCTGCATTTCTAAACCACATATTTGTCTCAGAGCTATGTGAAGTAGCAGCAATAAGTGTATGGTATTACTACCAGATAAATAGAAAAACACTTCTAAATAAACCACAGGCCAAGTTCACAAGCACTTATGCCAAGACCACACAGCACTTTAAAAGAAGACACCCTATGGGCCCAGCACCTCTGGGGGAAAATGATAATGTCATAAATCTTTGAGCTGATTTTGTATACATTGCTGCATTCTCATGTTATTATTCCTTGTTCTGGACTACATAACACTTCCTCCTATGTAGTGGAGATAAGGACGTGTTCAGTAACACTTCCTGTCCCATGGTGTCAATACGGTTTCTCCACAGTCACAGTAAAGGGAATGATTGGCCACCTTTGGACAAAAGTGTTACTTGCAGGATCATAGATGGAAGTTAAGGAAAATAAAAACGTTCCAGCTTTTGCAGCCAAAGGATAACACCTGTTTGTTACATGTTCCCATTCACATAGCATAAGATAAATAAAATATATAAAACATGCTTCTTGCAGTTTAAACTGCTTTTACGGGTTAACATTTCTACTTGCTCAAGTTTCTTTGCATTGTTAGGAGGGGCCGTAAGGGGTCTGAGGCGTTAAAAATACGTGAGAGAAACTATCCTCAAAAACCTGGAATGGGCCATTTTGCCTGCTTTAACAAAACATCTCAAAAAAAGGTAAATATTTTTTTTTCAAATTATTTTTCTTTATGCTGTGTGAATAGGACCACAAACATCTAGAGGGGTTTTCCCCTCAAAGTTTGACTGCAAAAGTGGAAATACATGGTAAAGAAAAAACCATGCGGCCGCCACATGTATGGACTGGTAAACTATATTTAAACATGTTGCTCTTGGTTTAGATACTCTTTAAGAAGCATTAAGTTGAATGTCTCTATACACATGAGCACGTAGTAAAGTTTTCACTGCGTGTTGGCAGGAGCCGAGCCTAAAGGCTATGCAGGTCTGTTTATTTAGGATACATTACCTTCCTACCGCCACTGGGAAAGTGCCATTGACTAATCCTAGTGCTTTGTAGATCAAATGTTTTACAACACACTAAAAACATGTACATGTATGCAACTATAGCAGATGTGGGGTTAGGTGGTTACATGCATATTCACAGGAAAAACATTCAGTGATTACCTGGTGCAGGAGCTTTACCACCAGCGGCTGGAGCCGATGAAGGAGCAGCAGATACGGCACCCCCAGATGGTACTGAACACAGTTTTGAAAGGCCTGGAGAGAGAAGAAAAAATGCACACAATTTTAGATTGTAAGCCCTCAGGGACAGGGCCCTCCTTACCATCTTGTCTTGATTTGTATTGTAATGTCTTCCCTATATTGTAAAGCGCTGTGCAAACTGTTGGCGCTATATAAATCCTGTATAATAATATTTTAATGAAGGAAAAAAAACTTGTAGGTAGCTGTACAGCCAACAAAAATCCAAGATGCTTTACCAAGATACTGAATTTTTCAGAGGCAGAGAAGCCCTTACAGCAGGGGTGCCCACAATTTGTGTGTTAAGATCTACTTTTCAAATGACGAACTACATGAGATCTACCAACGAAAAAAAACCTCCCCCGCTCTCTCGGCCGTCATTCCTCGTTTTTTTCTCCTGGCTGTCTCTTTGTTCTCTTGGCTGTCAATCCTCGTTTTTTCTCCTGGCTGTCTCTCTTTGCTGTCTTTCCCCTCTCTCCTGACTGACCTTGCTGTATTTTGCAACAGGCTGTGTAAACGAATATTCTTTGATGCAATACATAGCACTTCAACCACCAGAAAGGTGTCAGGAAGCTTGGCTCAGCAAACTCAGGCTAATAGGTAATCATGTGTGCACAGCTAAATATACCAAAATGGAATTAAGGGGCCACCATTCACACTAGGGATGCACCGATATATCAGCCGAAAATTGCACTTATGCCATAATGCCGAAAGAGCCATGTTTCAGCCGATACATCGGCGCATCCCTGCTGGGCGCTGCTCTGTGTCCCAGTGTGGAGAAAATAAAGTGACAGCCGGCCGAGCGCTGCAGGACGTCTCTCCTCCCACAGCGCTCAGCCGCCTCACAGTCCGGGAGAGCAGTGTGTGTGGGCGGAGACAGCCAGCGCTGTCACAGGAGGCTGAGCTCACCTCCCTGCTCCGCTCGATCAGCCTCCTGTGACAGCGTGTCAGAGAGGAGAGCAAGCACAAACACTCAGTGATCGCTGAGTGTTAGTAGATAATTGACAGATGAATGGAAGCAGCTGAGGGTGGGGTGGTGGTGACATGTATGTTTCAATAGCTTTCATGAGGATACCAAGAAATAGCAACAAGAAATAGCAACATTGTGGAGTAGTGATTCTGAACTTTAGATTTTGTTTCCCACATCATCAACTTAATGCCAGGCATATCAAGATGACAACTTAAGGAGTATTACTTCTTACTGCCAATAGCTGCAACATTTCTGTATTAAGTGTATCGCTCAAACATAGCGGTATGATATTAGTCATTGAACAAGCATACTAACCGGAATTGATAAGGTCGTCAACATTTTTTCCATCAAGTTCAGATATAACCTTTAAGGAAAAAATGCAAAGTGAGGTTACATTTTAAGCAATAGAACAGGTAACCACTGTCAAAAAACACTGTTCAGAATTGCAGTTAAAGTGACACTAAACTTAGGAGTGAAATCTTAAAAATGCATTCAAGTACCTGAACTATTAACAAAAATGTATCTTATTTGTATATCACTCGGCTGTAGATCCTCAAATCAGCCACCCTCCAGAAGGATGGACAGCGTCACCCGGTCTGGCTGTGGAACACTTCCTGAGGCCAATCGGAACAAACGGACCCCTCTAATCGGCGGTCAGCCGCTCCCCACAACCCAGCCAAGGGGACTCCGTCCCTCCAGTCCTGGCCCTCACTGGGCACTGAAAAAAAGAGGATCCAGCATACCCCCTGTCACTACAAGGAGGAGTAACTGGTGGCCACAATAATAAGGTAGGACAACTACCCAAGCAGATCTGCCCCCAGTAAAAAAAAGTTTAGACAGATCTGGTCTTAAAGAAAAGAAACCTTCCAGGGCAACATCACCACATGGAGGCTCCACTAACGTTCTTCGCGACGCGTTCCCGTTTGACCGAGGAAACACAAAGACTGCGAAACTGGAGAAGAGGTGGACCTTTTAAAGCTATTGTGTGATGCGTTTCCTGTGTTTGGGGGAGGAGATACCATCTCTTGATGCTGTCCTGGAAGACGTTATGGGAAAATCAGAGATGATTTGAGGATCTACAGCTGAGCGATACACAAGATACATTTTTGTCAACAGTAAAAGGTACTTGAATGTATAGTGTAACATATATATATTGCTTTTATGCAGCAATAAGAGACAACAATACCTCTATCAGATTTAGAACATCCACACCATTACTAAGCAAATGCTTTATTGCAAAACAAATCAGAAGTCAGCTAGTATTTATTCACCTTGCCTAGGCGCTCTTCATCAGCATCAATTCCTACACTGGATAGGATTTTCTTGATATCTTTTGCTGAGGGGCTGCTGTTACCACCAAGGGTGGCAAGCAGGTAAGCGGCCATGTAACGCATTCTGCAATTACAAGAAACAGACGTTATTTATACTGTACTTTTATAGAAGTGCACACTTTTCCCCTTCAAAGTGATTAATACATCAGGTAATTATTGCATCTTAAAAGTGACCCTAAACTCAAGAGTTAAACCCTAAAAATGCATTCAGGTACCTTAACTATTAACACAACTTGTTTATCACTCGTGTGCCAATCAAATTATCTCTGAATTTTGCTGATACCATCCTTCCTTCTGGAGGGTGGCTACTTTTGTTCCCCATGGTCCCTGTGTGTGTTGTAAAGTAGCCATCACTCCAAGCTCACTCTCGTGATTGCAGTCTATCACAGGAGCGATCTTGTAGTGTTGGCTACTTTACAACACACACACAGACCATAGGGCACAAAAGTAGCCACCCTCCAGAAGGAAGGACAGTGTCAGCACCAATTCAGAGATGATTTGAGGATCTACAGCTGAGTGATACACGAATAAAATACATTTTTGTTAATAGTTCAGGTAATTGCATGTATTTTTAATAGGGTCACTAAGTTTGAAGTGAGGACTGAATTCTGAAAAAACTAAAAAATGTGCATATATATTTTAAGCTATACTGAAAAAAGAACCTTACAACCCAACTTCAGGCATGAAAAAAAAGGGAGAAATAACACCGATGTAGTGGGGCCTCACACTGTAAGGGTTAAATGCTGTAAGTATAGGGATAAAAAGGAACAAGCTGTAATACTTACCTTATTCCTTGCTTCAGCAGCCATCCACCGCCCGTGGAATGCGCTTGCGTTGCCATTACTAGATATTGGTACCCCATACATGGCAGAGCAAATATTTTTCCCCGCACACAAACGCCCAGAGAAAAACATGGACTGCATGTCACCAAATCTGCAGTTGCCATGCATCCAGGGACCCAATGGGGACAAACGCCAAATGCAGGAAAAAGTCCCACAAACATGCAGAAATGAGCGTTCCCATGACGCACAGCCCCAGTGTGAACGGGACCCTAAGACATATGTTCAGCTTTTCTTTTTGTTATTTTGAGAGTGGGCAAAAGTCGTGTGAATGAGGCCTTAATGTGATTGAACATGGCTGGTACAACAAACACATAGAACTTGGGTAATGGCATTGTTAGGGACATTTACAATAGAAAAAGTAGCGCGTGCGTGTATATAAAATTTATCTTTATTAAACCCCCCAGACGTTCCCAGTCTGCTAATATTAAGTTGTACACAGACTCATTTCTGCGTCTATACATAACACGGACTGTATGAAATACCAGTGACCAGTATTTATTGTAACACATGCTGCCATCCCCCCCTCATGGCTCAGTGAAGCGCCACTGATAAACCTTCTATCACATTATCAATGGCCTATCCGCTCAGTATATGGGGAGGATTCTGCCCTCACAATATGTATGTAGAGAAAATCCGATCTATTTGTCCTCTACTCAACTCACTTTAAGTCTGTAGAGACACGAAACGATGTGCACGCTCCTGATCTCCGGCTCCGAAAGGGAAAGAGAGAGCTACGGGGTTTCCAGCGTAAAGAATCAAGGGCCAGCGAGTTCAAAGGTCAACCTCAAATTTCTCATTAAAACCACACTAAACGTGCATATAACTACCAGTAAATACCGTTTAATATAAGATATGAATATAATTATGTGATTTGGGCTTAATAATAACAAGTAGGTTACTAAAGGCGCTTTTGATGGGTAATGCGCATGCGCCTTCCCTGCGTGCTACAGGATGTTGAATGACCTGCAGGGCATGCGCAGAACGAATCCCGGAACTATCGCTGTGCTTGTGAAGAGGGCTGTGATTGGTGGTTAGGACAGACAGGTGACGTTTGATGCTAGTGGCTGGGTAGAATGAGGGCACCACGCATGCGCAGTTGTGCATGTTAGTTTGTAAGCAAAGAAGTGGATTGATGAATGCTGCTTGTCATTAGATGTGGGGACAGTGTGCTAAACAAGGGCAACATGTAACTCTGCTATGGCGCCGTACGTGTCCACCTGGGATGGCAGAGCGTGCACGGCCGATACAGAAGTGTATGGAAGCTGAGACAATGCAGGTACTTAGTAAATGTACTGATTTATGCCATGTTAGGGCTGGGAGTACTCACACTTCAGAGAGAGGGAAGAGGATGGGGTTTGGGGATTAACTATGTTCTAAACTTGCATTAAAGGGATAATAAAGTTGAAAGTTTTTAAAACTATTTTAAATGCTAATGAAATCACTTACAATGGATGCTGCTCCTTGATATTTAAATGTGTTAGTTTCATCCAGAATCAGCTGGTACCCTGAGCACTGGTCCTGATATCTTGTTTTAGGCTAGCCATCTGAAAGCTAGTAGATGGACAGCTGCTGGAGACTGGTACTATGTACCTTGTGATCTTGTACTGGACTGGAAGTTCAGGGAAGCTGAGAGAGTTGGAGCCAGAAATACTTTAATGTATATTCTGGATTCATTATTTCACTTATTTTTATTTTTTTTAGAGTTTAATACTACTTAAACCTTTTTGCTTCCACTTACCTATGCCATTCATCGGTAGGGCCTTTAAACACTGCCATAGCAGTTTGAAGTGTTTGCACTTCCTTAGCCAACTTTCTGTGATGATAGAAAGTTCTGCCCTTCCATCATGTATCCCAGGCTCCGCTGCACTATACCAAAGTTAAACTCCAGGCAGATATGAATGCAGCACTGTATTTATTACATGTGTCTAAAATACCTGAATTTAACTTTGTATCGGCAATCTCCTGTACAACAGAACTCAGACTGAGAGGGGGAGAGATGTTACTTGGAACCAATTGGGTATGGTTCATGCAGGTGTACTGACAAGTTACAAGATGTTAAAAGAAGAGAGCAGCGAGAAGACCTCAACAGTCTCCTACTGCTCTGTCCAGTCAGTAGGAATACCACTGTGTTTCATAAAATTCAAGTACACTAAAAATTTCCCAACTCCTCTCAATACACAGAGCTATGGCCCAGTGCAAGTCTGTGATTATCTACGTGTAATGGTGCACTGTGTTAGCGAAAATGGTGTGTGTGTCTGATTTTCGGTATGGTTCGTTGGCAGCACATTTAAATAAAAGAGATCCCTTAAAGGAGAACTATGGGGTTAGGGCTTTTACCCATAGTTCTCCTTAGGGTAATGGGAGGACAAAAACTAGCGTTCTCCCATCACCCTAAGCTCAGTATACCGCGAGCTGAGCCGACCTGTGAGTCTCATTGTCACAGGTCGGCTAGAACTGAGGATGAGTGAAAAGCACTCACCTCATAGTTCTCCTTTAACTCATGTAAATGTATAAGGCACCATGTTGGATTGGATAGAAGTGAATGGGACCTATAAGTAACAAAGAAGTGATCTCATCCGCCTGGCTGTGCTGTTTTAAATCTCAAAACTGGATGAGTAGAATCACAAACCAATTGGCAGGTAACACAGCTCCCATATAGAGATGAGCTGGAGCTTCGTGGAAACCTAGTTCCAAGCCTACTCAAAACTATGACCAACTGTCGTGTACCTGACTGAAGACCAAGTAGGCAAGGATCTAACTGTGCACCTCTTGTCCCACACCTCTGAAGATGGAGACAGAGAGTGTATTGCTGTAGAGTGGCAGAGAAGCCTGTGCTGACAGCTGGACACGAGGTCTGTGCAGATGACTGCTGCTTCCACGCTCTTGAGCATCCACGACAAGTCTGCCGGGATTGGATGACTTTGAGAACCTCAGGAAGCAGGAGCCAGGGAGCGCTGTGCCATAGGTAGATCAGACGTGAAGACACAAGGCAGCAGGATAACCAGGAACTAGATGGATGGCTGGAAGCAGAGTCGTGAGCCGAGGTCATACACAGGAGAGCACAGTAGCAGCAGTACCGAAGCGATGGGCAGAAGCATATGCCAGGGTCATACACAGATAGAAGCATATGCCAGGGTCATACACAGATAAGCAAAATCACGAGGTACCAGACAGGAGGCAAGAAGCAAAGTCCAAGGGTCGCAGGCCGGGTTCATACGCAGGAACGCAGCTATGAGCTGATGACCACACAGCAACTGGCTCAGTGCTTGAGTGTTGTTTAAACAGGGGATGCATGCCGCTATGATCATGCGCCGTCATGCAAACATCCGCACACATCCGTACACACGGGGGGAGGCATAATGTCGAGTGGGCTTGGGCGAACTCTGGCAAACAGGATTTACACCAAGCCCAGGCTCATCACTACAATTTATGCATTCCATCTGTGTATTTAGCTGTTTGTGTGTAGTTCAGCTGTAAATATTAGGAAGCCTGTTTGGAGGGTTTCTAAATTTTGCTAGTGTTATTTTTTGGGGTTTTAGAAAAATGGGAGTATACTACATAACCAGCAAATGTAAACAATACTTTTGTACTCCCCCTTTTTTATATATATCTATAGATAGATATATATCTATCTATATATACATATACATCTTACTATTGTAAGCACCCATACTAGTGTAAGGCACCTTTTACACGGCCGCTCAGATCAGGTCCGTCTGTCAGTTTTTCAGGCGGACCCGATCAGATGGCCAATGCAAGTCTATGGGCAGCCGTCTGTGAACGGATGATCGTCCGTTTACACCTGGTTACCCCTGCCTCCAGGAAAAACAAACAGAACAGTGTTTAATTTCGCCGGACCAGATCGTGCTGGATTGGGGGTATTCTGATGTAAACAGACACATGCCCGTTTACATCAAATTCTGCGGAGACTGGCATTGGGTTGGGCAATTGCAGTTTTTTCTTCCATTGCAAGATAAAGAAACGCTACCCTAGCAAAGCTGCTCATTTTTGTCTAGGAGACCTTTTTGTAAAGCACTTTTACTTACCTGATCCCCGCTCCCACTTGCTGCAAGACCAACACCTGGCCTCTTTTGCCCTCCCACACCAGTGGTTGGAGACCCACTGAAGTCATCACATATAATGAAGGGCCCATAGTACTGCATTATATGTGGGGAGACCAAGGGACAGCACATGAGCTGAAGGGGAGAGAGGTGAGCACTGAGTGCCGGGGGAGTGGGGATCAGGTAAATACAAGTCCTTTTCTCAAACACCCCTAGACATAAACTATGAGTTAATCTACTGATGTAGTAGAAATAATCAAAGGACTCTAATGATATGTGAAATCTTACTTGGCGCATGGTAGAAAACTTTGTACCAATAATATTGTTACATTTTGAGGCTGAATAAAAGATGTATGTCCTTTTGAGTTCAACCCAAAACACCCTACCTTTTGTTGTTCTTTTGCTCCTTTGCCCCCCATTGGGAGAGATAAGAGGAAGACTTGTTTAGGCTCCAAACTTTTCTCACCTGTCTGTGCTGGTTGTGAAAATGCTGAGTGCTGCAGCGGCCAATCAACAAGCATCAGTGCTGTTAGGTGGAAAGAAGGTGAGTGACTCAGATGCTCCCTATATCTAAATGTACAGGTTGCATATCTTTGCTCCCAGTGGGAGCAAACATAAATGTATGTTGAACAAGAGAGGGTGGCAGCTAAAGTGTATATAAAGCCAAAACAGTTTAACCAAAGTAGGAAAGGGTTAAAACTCCTGTCAGGTTTTGTTTGGCATCTCAGATGGAGGCCCAGTAGGTTGAAAATAAGACTCTTCTGTGGATGGCACCAGAGTGCTCTTAGATCCTCTATGGGTAGATTGCACCATTAATTGTGCACACCCCAACAAGTCTGAAGTGGACATGGGAGGTCTCAGCCGCATGCAGCAGAGCTGTAGAAGACTCCGATAAAGTCACCCATTGCAGCAGTATTTTCCTCTGTGTGTCTTTGAAATGACATCATGTACTATGTTTCGGAAAATAACTAGGCCCAAAGGGAGTCAAGGCCTTGGTTATTAACAAACCCAAGCAGCTAGTGCTGATGAGGGTCCCAGGCTTCCATAGGTGACCAAGTCATTGTGGTGGGCAGTGGAACAAGACTGGAGACCTGATAGTCCACAAAGGTGCTTCATAAGCAGGAGCAGCAGCAGGGTGGTGCTTCCTGTAGGCTGAATGTATGTCGATAGAAAGAAAGTACGTCCATTACTCCCTCTATATCAGAACTCCGTTCCCTCAGGCTCATCTGTTACTGATCTAAGATGGCGGTGGTAGAAAAGGGCGTGTGTAGGGGCCAGATTTGAGCGGGTAATTCCATTTTCCAAAATTACCTGGGAAAGTGAACTTACCCTTTAATGCTGCCCGACTACCACAGTATGGCAGTACAGTAGTGACTTATTGCCTCAGTGGTCTCCGGGTGCAACCTCTCCACCTTCAGGTTAAACCATTTGAAACAACATATAGACAAAAATTGGGTTTTTTGTAGAGGTATAACACCAACACTTGATTCAGTTGATATAAAAAATATATTTATTTTACACATATACAGCATAAAACCATGTATACATTTCATTGAATACAATCTAAATCAAATAACATTATTAAGCAGACATTAAAAAACAAATTGCATCCTAGTTCCAATTCATCTTGTTAGACATTGTATTCAGTAGGGAGTTCCATGTATCCAGTCCCTATGCGTTTCGCATATTGC